GGATCGGCACGGAGAGGGACGCGGTCGGATATGTCCACGAAGCCGTCACCGCTGTCGTGGATACGGACCTTCCGCGGTGGTCGTGATGTGGAGTCCTGTCTCTTGAGGGCCGATCGGGTTCGTGAGGGTGGCGCTGACTGGGCCCTGTCGGGCGTTCCCATATGGAATCTGGGTGGAGGGATGATGGGGCTGTAGGCTTGGGTTGGGGTGATGCTGGTGATCGGTCGAGTCTTGGGCGTGGTGGGTACTTCGTGCTCGTCGTCGCTGAGATCGATGAGAATTGTGGTAAGGGGCGTGGATCGCTGTTGGTCGTCGGGTGTCGATCTCGTGTCGGGGGGGGCGGACATGGCACGCACTTCGGGGAAGATGATGTGTGGGGTGGGGGGAGTGGCCTGCGCAGCTGGGATGGGGGTGTCGGTGCCTTCGAGGTCGGAGTCGTGATGAAGGTCAGGAATGGGCGTAGACTGTCCGTCGTCGTGCTGAGAGAGGTAGCCGTCGTCGGCGATGGGCGTGGGAGAGCACGAAGATCTTGGAGAGCTCGATTGGTGTGCTTGTGTATCGCCATGGTGTGCTTCAGAGGGCTTGTCGTGGTCGGCATCGCTGAGTGGGGCGATACTGGCTGGAGGGTGTGTGGGCGTTCTGTCGTGGGTGTGGTCGGGGTTCGGGGCGGGTGGTGAGGTGGGTGGTGCGGCTGCAACGCCGAGGTCTCGTAAGCTCCATGCGTCTGAGTTGGACGTGGAATGAGCTGCGTTCGGTGGAGAGCTCATCTGTCGTAGCTGCTCGAGGTAGATGTCGGCGTGTGGGTGAGGCAGCTCGTAGGGGCCTGGGATGATCGCGGTGAGGGCGCCTTCGATCTCGCGGTGGATGCGCTTCTCCTCTGTGTCGGCTAACGCCTGCTGTCTGTTCTCCTCCTCGACTCTCTCGCTGAATCTCGTGTTCAATTCTTGCAGCAGTTCAAGATCAAGAGGGTCATGAAGAAGCTCGGCTTGTCGAAACTCACGTTGCATTTCCTCCCTTTCCTTTATTCGCATCTCCTCGGTCGTCGCCAGGCGGTTGATGTACCTGTCGTGGAGCTGCTGCTCGGTGAGGTGTAGGTTGGCACGTTCGCCTTGGAGACGGGCTCGTTCGTGCTGGTGCTCGGTGCGAATCGTGGCTGCTTCGTGTTGTTGCGCACGCAGTTCACCGTACTCCTCGAGGATCTTCTCTTTGGCTTGCATGAGTGCCGATGATTCCGCATGAGCCCTGCAGTTGATTTCATGAAGCTGTCGTTGCTGAGCCAGTCGAAGTGCGTCTTCTTGTTGCTGCCCTCTCATCTCGTGCTGAAGTAGGAGGTTGTGAGCACACTGAGCTTCCTCCTGTTGAAGGCGGTGCTCGGATATTAGATGCTGGAGCCAAAATGGCTTAGCCTCCCGTAGTTCGTGTTGCTGTACTGCTTCCCGCCGTGCAAGGTGACCACGTGCGGCGTCGTGAAGTAGTTGGTGCTGTTCGAGCTCGGTCTTCATGCGATGTGCCTGTTCAGCTTCATCTTCCTGACGTCGTTGTTCGGACTGTCGTAGGAACCGTTGTGCCTGCTGATGTTCTAGGTGGCGGTTGCGCACGTTGATCTCGTCTATCTCCTCCTGGAAGCGGCGCTGGAGTCGTTGCTCGTGGTGCTGTAGTTCGAGATGAAGCTCGTTGAAGGCCTTCCGAGACGTGTGTGCTTCCATGCGCGCAAACTCCTCCTGCAACTGTTCGCGGTGCTCGGATTGTCGGAGATCAGCTTGTTGGTGGAGGTGAGCTAGGTGATGCTGATGGGGTCCCGTGTGTTGTCGCTGCTGTTCCACCTTTTTGGAGAGGTCCGTGATCATCGCAAGCAGCTCTTTGTGACCTTTTTGGTGTGGGTCGTCCTGCTGTCGAAGTGGTGCTGCTGCTGGTGCTGCGTACTGCTGGGGTCGATGATCTTCGCGCTGTCGTGGGTGAGGTGTCTGTGTCCGAGTCCTGCGCCTGTTGTGGTGGTCCTTCTCGCTCTCGTCGTTATCGCTGTAGAAGTCGTCATACTCGAGGTCGGTTGTGGCGTCGTCCCTCTTCAACTTCGACTCCTGGAGTAGAGCCCGTAGTGTCCTCAAGCTGCCCTCCGTGTTGTCGAGCTCGGTCTGCATCTTCCTGATGTCGTCCTTGAGCGCATTTTTTTGCCTGACCGTGGTGTCGATGCATCGGCGGTAGTAGTGCACCCGCTCGTCGGGAGACAACGTGAGGAGGAGCATTGCCTTGTTGACGGACAGCTCTGCGACGATCTTGGCATCGTCGACGCCGACGGCGCGTGCGCCCTGAGCTTGGTCTGCCAACCGAGCGATGCGTCCGCGCTTGGTTGTCACCCAAAGGCGGCGCATGTCCTCCTCCAGCGGGGGCGTGGAGAAGCTCTCGTGGGACTGCATGCGCACGTCGTCGGCAGGGAGGACCTGGTCGAGGATCTCGCGCTGCTTCTTGGAGAACTGGAAGCCGTCGAAGAAGTTGTGCGCGCCGTAGTGCTTCCTGCTCTGCGTCCGTGTCGTTGTGCGAGGTGTGGAGCGAGCCCGTGAACCTTTCTTGTGGGTGTCCTCGCCGTGGTGGGTGAAGTGGTGAGCATGCTCGTCCTTGGCGTAGTGCTGCTGGCAGTGGCTGTTGTGACGGGTGCTTGCGTTGCCGTCGTACTGGTCGTGGCCGTCGCGGTCCTGCTGCCAGCTCTGGTCGTCGTTCTTCCCGTACGTCCTGCGTCGTCGCGTCCGAGATCCCGACCTCCACGGCCATGGCTGAGCTCCGACGGGATGACCACGAGAGGCTCGTGTTGATGACGCCGTCGTGTCGAAGTGCGGCTGCTCCCAGTCGCGCTGGTGCTTCCAGTCCTGCGTCATCTTGTCGACGGGCTGGGCGCTGTGGTGCTCCGCGAGGGTCCTCGCGGCAGAGAGGACTCGGAGCAACGTACGCGCCTGAGCACGTTGCTGCCGCTGGCGCCGATGCCAGGATGGTTCGCCTTCACGAGGCGTCCTGGCGGGGCGCCTGCCGCGGCCGCGGCGCCGAGCGATGGCTCGCGGCGCGCGAGCCCGAGCACGAGGGGGCGACCGACGAGGGCGACGACGGCCCAGCCCCCCTCAGCCCGTGGCTTCCTCCTCCTCCTCCTCCTCCTCCTCCTCCTCCTCCCCCTCCTGAAGATACGCTTCTGAGATTAGGGGCGCCGCGGCAATTCCAGAGCGCTCCAGAGCTCTCCCAGAGCGTGCCGAAACGTTCTGGAAAGATCTCTCCCAAGAGCAATGTTTGGAGTAGTCGCGATAAGGCCCGTGACCAGCCCCAGCCCCGCCCCCCCGCCCCACCAGGAGGGCCCAGAATCGGATCGATAGGTCGGATCGGCAGTCGAAATGAATCGGATCGGCGGAAATCGACAGCCGAGTCGGGAAAAGTCGAATCGGCTGAAATTGGCAGGCTAGTACGCCTCCAGTAAGAAATTGGCAGGCTAGTACGCCTCCAGTACGCCCCGCCCCTGGGAAGCACAAAGACATACTAGTACTATATGTCCTCCTTGGAGGCGCGCGTCCGACCCGAACATATAGTATACCCATCTTGTAGTATATCGTTTCCCGAGCGGTGTGGCCAGAAAGCGCCCGCCACGACGCATATACTATAAGATTTCTCGGTGCGCGCGTCGCCCCTGGGGGGGCGACGCACATATAGTATAAGTATGTTGGGGTGTTGCCGAGCGCCCCCCCGCCCCACCATCGCCCTCGTCACATCACGACTGGCGCTGGCGCCGTCTGGGAATCAGCCACTTGAAAATGCAATCCCAGACGACGCCGGCGTGAATCGTGACGTGACCGGCCCCCCTCCCGTTGAAGAAAGCTGCTTGTAACAGTGCCTGGGTAGACGGTGTCGCTTTCGCATACGACTCGCAATCAAATTGCATCTATCTCGGATGCCAGTGCAAACGCGAAGCCCATAGCCCGTCCTGTCTCCCCATCCAACCATCCCCGCTCTGGAGCTCTCTTTACCTACGTTGCATGTGATGCCCTGTGTCTTGGCGTCCTATTTTTTATTGTTCTCTCGCTCACGTGCTTCGGCGCATGGCGTAGTGAGCGCTAACGTAATTCAGCAGGTTCGTAACCCTGGCGCTGGTTTCTGCCACCGCGTGGTCGCTGCCGCGTCGGCACGACCCGAACCTGGCCGTAGCCCCGCGCGAAGATGCGTGGCTGGAATGTATCCATGACCACCGCCAGGGGACCGACGTCCTGGCACCCCAGCGGGCGGTTGATATCGATAAGCTTGGGCCCCAGGGGCCCCGAATACATCCATATCCACCGCCTGCCGAGGTCCCAGAAGATCGATCCCCCAGGCGGTGCTTACGCATGCATCAGAAGAGGAAATGAGGGAGGCGGAGAAGGGAGGCCGAGCGGGAGGGAAGGAGGCTGGCTGGGGTGGCCCATTGGGCGGCGTTCACATCCTCGGGCACGGATGCTTTTAGTGGGCCTGACCGGGCAGGAGGAAGCCTCCCGCGACGGAGTTTCCCCACACCGACCAGAGTGCCTCCAAGCGGGCAGGTCCATGGCCAACTCTCGTGCCTGGAAAGCCAGCGATGGAGGGGACAGCTACCGTCAACAGTGGGATGGGCCGGCAGAGAGTCCGCATCTCAACTGCCGAGGGCTTCGCCCTGTCACCCAGCCCCCGCAGTCAGAACATGCAGACAGGCAGACAGGGAGAGGGAACGAAAACCCTCCCTGGGTACCTGAGGGACCTCCCAGAGGGAGGGAGGGAGGGAGGGAGGGGGAGGAGAAGGAGGAGGAGGAGGAGGAGGAGGAGGAGGAGGAGGAGGAGGAGGAGGAGGAGAGAGGAGGAGCAAGGAGGAGGGATGAGGAGAGAGGAGGAGAAAGGAGGAGAAGGGTGGAGGAGGAGGGAGGGAGGAGATCGAATCCCGCCTCGGAGCAGAGGCGGGCCGCGGGAGCGGCGGCGCGGTCTCCCCGATGGGGGGGCGCGCCGTGGCGCCGGCGGGGGCGCGCCTCGCCGGCGGCGGCGTCGGGCAGCGCCAGGCCGGCCACCGAGAGGTTCGTCCTGAGGGCTGCGTGCGGCGGCCGCGGAGGCGGCGGCGAGGAGGGCGGCAAAGTCTATACACCCTACGAAATGCTTAAGAAATCATGGGTTAAGAAATTCATAGTCTCAGAACTTGAATAAAAACCCAAAATTTCCATTCAAATCTTAGGATTTACATTGAAACATTAAGAATAATCGAGACTCTGGCCGAAAAATTAAGTTTTCTTAAGCATCGCCTAGGGTGTACGCGTCGTTCCTTTCTAATCGCGCTCGTTTCTGGGTGTGCTCGTTTCGGATGGTTCCTGGCCCCCCAGTGCCCAGGAAGAGGCCCAGGACAGAACAATTAGAAACGCAAGGATCTTGGACCCCCCCCAAAAATAGAAATGAACAAGTTGTACGCATCTACTGATCCCTGACCTGGCCAAACCTGACCCCAGCAGCGGTGTATACGCCACGCCCTCGTGAGTTGGCCAGGAGGGCGTTTTCACAGCTCCTGGGCTCAGGAAGGGCCTGGCCAGGGGGCACTGGATATGTGTAGACTTCGTCGCGAGATCGCGGGACCCCCCCTCGGGTCCTGACAGAATCCTCGGTCATCCGTCCTCATCCGTCCAAGGCCCACCCCCCCGCCGTGCCTTCCCTCACATCCGTCCTCATCCGTCCAAGGCCCACCACCCCGCCGTGCCTTCCCCCACCCCTCCGTCCTCGTTCCTTGGCCCTCGCCTCCGTCGCCCTCCTGGGCTCAGTCTTTCTCAGCCCCTTCTGGGAATCAGTGAGGGGCAACGAGCCCAGACCCCTGGCGGGAGGCTTTCCGCTGCATCTTCGGTTTCTGGGGGGCCCTGCTGGGCCTCTGGGCAGTCAAAACACGGCCTAGGGTGGAAAACCGATCCAAGGGAATGGGTCTAGACGCTGGGGGTCCACGTCATTAATAAATCACAGCGTCGGGGGTCTGAGCGAGGGGAGCCAGTCTGCGGGACAACGTTCGGAAGGAACGCTATCGGGTTCGAGGTGCAAGGTTTCTGGACGTTTCGTGGAGTCTCAACGGCTTTTCAACTGCCGCGGGGCGTCTGGGACTGCCTGGATCATCCCGAACGGCCGGAAGAGGCCCGAGTTGTGACCCGAACACCACCAGGGGACTGGTTCGCGGTGGGGATGCAACGAACCTGAATCGGCGAGACATCGCCGATAGATCGGCGATGGGCCCCCCATAGCGAAACCCAAGGTTCATGGGCGGGGCGGGCCATCGGGCCCTTATCGGGGATGGATGGGCGATTGGGGGTCGACGTACCCCCCCTGAGCCCATGCCCCCCTAACGCTGCCCCCTGAGGGTCCCACGCCTCACTCCTCCTCCTCCTCCTCCTGCCTCCTCCTCCCCTCCTCCTCCTCCCTCCTCCTCCCTCCTCCTTCCTGCTCCTCCCCCTTTCTCCCCCTCCTCCTCCTCCTCCTCCCCTCCCTCCCTCTCCCTCCTCCTCCTCCGAGGAGGACCTCCTCCTCCTCCTCCGAGGATCCTCCTCCTCCTCCTCCTCCTCCTCCTCCTCCTCCTCCTCCTCCTCCTCCTCCTCCCCCGTCCCCGTCTCTGTCTTCCGTCGGCACAGTCGTGTGACTGCCGCACCACCCCTTGCGGAATCGCGGGCGGCACGTGGGCCGGAGAACGCAGGCCCTCGGCAGCCTGAGCCGAGGGTTCGCTGACGACGGATCGGGTGAGGAGGAAGCCGACCAGGCATGTCTGGGAGGCACCCGTAAAAAAGACGATTCGCCGATTCCTTGGGGTTCCTCGCGTGTCAGATGGCTGCCCGTGCCCAAGGATATTCCCGGCGAAGGGCCCAACCATGCGCAGTTGGGACTGCCGAAGCTGGGAGGATCGTCTTCGGTGGCCCTTCATATGAGGCGACAAAATGTGCGAGGGGCGTACCGATTTGGGGAAGGGGGGTCTCATGTGAACTCTCCCACTGGGACCTTCGGTGGAGCTCCCTATGGGGCCACGAAGCGTGTGAGGGGTGCCTGCCGACACGGGCGTGACGCCCACATGCGAACTGCACCACTGGGACCTTCGGTGGAGCTCCCTATGGGGTCACGAAACGTGTGAGGGTGTGCCGACACAAGCATGACGCCCACGTGCGAACTGCGCCACTGGGACCTGTGCTGGAGCTCCTTACCAGGCCACGAAAAGTGTGAGGGGTTTGCTGAAACAGGGGTGACGCCCACATGTGAACTGCGCCACTGGGACCTTAGCTGGAGCTCTCCATGGGGCCACGAAACGTGTGAGGGTGTACCGAAACGGGGTGAGAGGAGGGAGGAGGGGGATGAGGAAGGAATGCGGGACGCTGTCTCTTCAACACGAAGACCTAACACCACAAAATGGTTGGGAACATCTTCCCTGAAAACCCGGATCAGCCTATTTGCACGGGGGTCTATCCAGAAGCGCCAGCGGACTCATCTTGCTCAGAAGAGCTCCAAGGAAAGCCTAAATTTATCACAGAGGAGCACCAAACTGTCCCAAATTGCTTCAACTCAACACCCAATGGCCTCAAGCTGGCCCACAGTGCCGCTAAACGGCCCAGGATGGCCTCAAGAGGTCCGAGGAGGCCACCACGATGTCCCAATACTACCCCAAAAGGCCCCCAAGATGGCCTAATTACGGATGCCCGAATCACTGGTCGCCCAGAAAGGTGTTCGAAGAAACCTGGATAAGCACAAACCCCTTTGGGCCTCAATTTTGCCTGGACGCGGGGGGAACGCCAAGTCAATCTCCGTGGAAGGACCCCAGCAACATCGAACCCTGTCGAAACAAATGTGGACCTTGTCCCAAAGTTCCGACTGTAGCCGGGCTGAGGTTTGGCAGACACAGACCTCAGAGATGATTGCAACGCCAGGATCACGGGATGATGGGCCTGTTTTCCACCACCACCACCATAAGTTGGAGGGGGAGGGGGTCCTCCTTCTCCTCCTCCTCCTCCTACTCCTCCTCTTCCTCGCCCTCCTCCTCCTCTTCCCCCCTTCCAACTTATGGTGGTGGTGGTGGAAAAAGGGTTCATCACGGGAGACGGCGCCGCGGCCGCGCGCGTGGTCCAGAGACTCCGCTGCGAGGACTCCGCGACCACCAGCTTCCCGTCCGCCGAGAGGCAGGCGAACCTGGTGGCGGGCTCAGCTGGCCTGGCCAAGCCCACACCCCGGCCTGCCCCCAACACCCGACAGATCGACGCGGCAGGAGCCTGCACGACGCCAGCGACCCTGGCGAAGGGGGAGGGGAGGGGGAGGGGGAGGGGAGGGGGAGGGGGAGGAGGAGGGGAGGAGGAGGAGGAGGAGGAGGAGGAGGAGGAGAGGAGGAGGAGGAGGAGGAGGAGGAGGAGGAGGAGGAGGAGGAGGAAGGAGGAGGAGGAGGAGGGGAAGGTGAAGGGGAAGTGGGAGGAGGAGGAGGAGGACTCCTGGCTGTGGCCCGAGGCGGAGAAGGTCTGCACGGCGCCCTGGGGCCCGGGCACGGTGGCAGCTAACCTCTAAGGGGTCTTTGGACCCCCCCGAACGGTGGAAACGAACCGAGTGCCCCGGATAAGAAATTACTCCCCCTCCCCTCCTCCTCCCTCCTCCTCCTCCTCCTCCTCCTTCCTCCTCCTCCTCCTCCTCCTCCTCCTCCTCCTCCTCCTCCTCCTGCCCCGGATAAGAAATTACTCCCCCTCTTTCGTAATGAGAGCTTACTATCCCGGACCAGTGCAGTTTTGGTCATTGAAGAGAGACGGCAAGGCCGAACTTTATTAGCGCGTCTGAAAGCTGCGAATCGAAGTTGCTCTTCTTATGTTGAGTGGCCTGATTTCCCCAGGAATCCTATGGAATTCGATGGAATTCCTATGGATCCCGACTGATTTCCGAAGGATCCAATGGATGTCCTAAGGAATCCCATGTATTTCCTACGGATCCTAAGGTAATCTTATGGAACTCATTGGGATTCCGATGCATTTTCTGAGGAATCTTACGGGCTTCCAGAAATAATTACATAGATTGAGCCTGCGCGGCAGCTCCCCCGCTACCGGAGCTCTGGGCGCCCGGAGTGGCACGGCTGCCCTCGCAGCTGAACCGCAATGACGTGGCGTCGCACAGCCGCTTGAAGCGCAACTTCCGCTCCTCGGCTTCGCTGGCCGAGAGAGACGCCGCTCCTTTGTCAGGATGGCAGACTCGCGCCGCGCGACGGAACGTCGCTTCGATGGCGCCGCGGCCCGCTCCGTCGGCGACATCAAGGGCAGCCCGCGCATCCTGCAGCCTAGCAGCTCGGGCATAGATGCGATGACCATTGCTGCTCGCGGGTCCCACGGTCCCACGGGGACCTCTCGGCTGCCCGCCATGGCGGGGACGTCCCCGGCCATGCGCGAGCCGCCGCTCGTCAGCTCGGACGCTGCCTGAAGGATCGGAGTGGTTAATAAGTGTTACCGTGAATTATAACCATCTTATAACTATGCTATAAGTCTGTTACAAGTAAGTATAAGTTGTTATAATTAGGTTACGAACTTACTAACTTCGTTAACTTGGACCCTTTAGCTAAGTATAGTTACGCGGAGTTAGGGTAGTTAGCAACTCTGCTAACTTTGAAACATCTGTTGGAAAACAACGATGGCGTGTAGGCTGCCTTTCCCTGGTGTATACTGTTCTTGTTCAATGTTGCTATTCATTTGTTAGCATGGCAGTGCTAGAGTGGCTCAGAGAGCGACGGGGGGGGGGCCTCGGGACTGGCACCGCCCCCTGCGACCTCCTCTCCCGCGGAGCGGGGGGGTCAGCGGCGACCCCTGCGTCAGCGCGCGCGGCCCCGGAGGAACTCGGGAAAAGAGCGCTCCTGGTCCTGGGCCCCCGAGGGACCGGCGGGCCTGGGCCGCGCGCGTCGCCGCCGCCCGGAGCCTCAGAGGCTGGCTCCCCCGCGGCGGCGCCGTCGGCGGCGGCCACCCTGCAGCGCCCGAGGGGGGAGACGGCCGCCCCGGGGGAGGCCCAGCAGGCCTAACCCTCGAGCCGCGAGCAGGGCGACGAGGCGCGCCCATAGGCAGGCAGGGTGCGAAGAGGAGAGGGAGCGTCGGCCTGGGCCACGCAGTCGACTTGTTCTGCTGCCTGGAGCCCCCGGCGGGGGCCGCGCTCCCCCTCGAGGAGGCTCCGCGGACGCCGCGGGGAGGCGGCGCTGGCGCGCCTGGACCGGGCCCCCTGGGCGAACCCCGCGGGAAGTGCAGGGCCGGCTGGAGGGCCGACCTGGCGCGGCCGCAGCCGCGAGAAGTGCCGGCCCGACGCGGTTCCAGCGCCTGCGCCGAAGGCCCGGCCCCGGCAGCCGCGCGGTCGCCGCTGCCGCTGGAGCCGCGGCCCGCGCGCGGCGCGGACGGCCCCGGGGCTGCGCCGAGGCGGTGGCCAGCCGCGCGCCCGCGCGCGCGCGCACGCCCCCGCGCGAGGCCAAGGGCAAAGCGACTCGGGGCCGCGGCCCCATACCCAGAGACAGCAGGACGCTGCCGAGCAGCCTGGAGGACAGGCTCCTGAGCCCCGCCAGCTTCTGCGACTCCTCAGAGGGGGGCGAGGAGGCGCTGGCCGCAGCGGCGCCGCCGGCGGAGGGGCTCTACGGAACTCCAGTGGCAGCGGGCGGGGCGAGCTCCACCGGCCGCTGCGTGGAGACGCGGCCTGCGCAGGCGGGGGGCGCCGCGCCAGCAGCGGCTCCGACGCCTCGAGCAGCGGACGGCGCAGAACGCCTCGCAGCGACCAGCTCTCCCGCTACCCGGCGCAGCGGAGGACGGAGGTTCGGCGGCGGGCGCACGGTGGAGCACATGGGAGACGGGGTTTTCCTGGTCCGCATGGGGGAAGGACAAGGCTGGCCACGCCTGACGACGACCGGCAGGAGCCTCAGCGCCCCTCCCGAGGCAGCGAGCTCGGAGGACGCTCACAGCGAAGGCACCGACCTCCAGGCGGCGCACGACGCCCTGAACGCCCGGGCCCTCTCCTGGCTCGGACTGGCGCGGGCTCGGGCAGACGCGAACGAGGTGGAGGCGGGCAGCGGAGACGCTTCGCTGCCTGCTGGATCGCGCCCTCCTGCACCGGGCACGCTGGCCCCGCAGAGGCTGGCCCACGGCGCCCAGCGCGGGGCCCCCACTGGCAGCCTCGAGGCGGCAGCCGCCCCGGGCGCAGCCGCCCCGATCGGCGCCGCGGCTAGCGTTTTCCCTGGCGGGGAGGCGGCCTGCGGCGCGCCGCGCGCCGAGACGGGGGGCGCGGCTACCCCGCAGCCGGCGGATTCGCCTCCCCGCCACCACGGGCGCGCGGGCGGCGAGCGCCACCCCTGCGGGGGCGGCCCGCGCCGCGGCCGCGGCGGGGTTCGGAGAGCGCCGCGGTAAACGCCCCTGGAGCGGCGCAGGGAGCGGCCTGCGCCGCGGGAGCGGGCGGCGGCCGGCCGGGACGGCTCGGAGGCCGGCGCCGCGGCGGAGGCGGCCCGCGGCGCCGCAAGCGCGGCTCCGGCCAGCGCCCCTGAGAGCGCGGCCGCGGCGAGCACCCCCCTGACGGCCCTCGGCCTTACTAACTGTTAGCTGCAATTGTAAGTAGGTTGTAACTGGGTTGTAAGTATGTTACAAGTAGGTTATAACCGTTAGTAACATTACTATCTCGGCTAACTCGGTCGGTGCAGTTGGAGGTAGACAGCCTGAGTTCGCAAAGTTACTAACTTCGACAACTGTTACACGCTTACTTGAAAAACAGAACTGTGCATCAAGTGTTCCTTGGATGTTGCACCCAGAAGCGCACGCATGTGTGTTCGACTTTTGTTGTGATGCATATCGGAAATCATGATTTAGACTTGCGCGTGAACGCGTTCAGGATATTGTTTCGAGCGTTGCAATAATGTTGCGCACTGCAAATGCGACATATCATCTCGAAGTTGCAACCCTCTGTTGCACGTTTTCTTGAATGTCAGTAGAGTTTGGGCCCAAGCCGTTTGCGCTAGGATTGCTGCTGGCGCTTGTGGCGTCCTCCTTCACACGGCGTGATGAACGCCTCCCGTGAACAGCAGATAGCGGATGTCAGTGGTAAGATGATGGCGATCAATCAGTCGTATTTGCATCCAGGTGCAGCGGTGGTCTCATTATTTGAAGATGTATGCGGGATCGCCAGGAGCATCGATTGCCTCAGGGTGAAGAAGATACACTCGACATATATGTTTGTGTACATGGAGGATCGGTATGGGGATGGTACTATCCCGAACGAGGTTTTGGATTTGATCTCGTAGATCTTCAGGAATGGATTCAAAACTTCGGCCCTCCAGAATCCAGCTTGCATGGAACTTCCACCAGTTGGTACGCCTGAGTACGAGAAGAACAAGGCGTTCAACTTCAAAATAATGCAGGATTCCGCAGGCCAGTTGCCGCACAATGATTGCGATGCCAAGTTCGCAAGCTATACGTGTGGGCACACTAGCATGGGTTTGCGTTGCTTCAACGCAGGAGTTACAGTGCCTTCGGTAATGCCAGAGCGAGTTGACAACATCTCGCATCAAGGCAAATTGTCATTGACGAGATTGCGGGAGGTGCAGCCCGATTACGCAAAGGCTTGCGACGAAGGCATCGAATGGAAGGTGTTTCGATATGGGTTTGTCAAGCAGTTCCCATGGATTAGCAACCTTGCGCAAGAAGCTGGCAATGCTGGGCAGCAGATTGCGAGGCGCGAGAGTCGCATGAGTCTGACGTGCAAGATCGCAGCCATTGCGAACCGCCACCACGCAAGCGGCACCATCGACTGGGACAGCGTCATCCGCGAGGCGACTCGCGCAGGCTTTCTCTTTCCTGGGGAGATCGATGGCTTAGTAAAACACGTGAAGGAGTTGTCTGGCGGCCTCGTCAACCCGATATTCCTGAACGAGCTTCGCGACTTCTCGCGGCAGCTGACCTCCCAGTGCGCGGTCACGGGTTCCATGGCGAAGTCTCTCGCCGACGTGCAGATCAAGCATGCGGGGGTCGCTGTTACATTTTAGATCGCACGCACGAAGGCGATGGCATGCGCGACGGGTAAGTTCGCGAGGGATGGTCAACATATGCTTGTGAAGCCAGGCGACGTGACCGCCTTGTCGAGCGATAAGAAGTCTACGATTGGAATGATGGCAGATGAATTTCTTCAAAAAGTACGACAGATCGCAAACGG